TACACACACACACACACACACACACACACACACACACACACACACACACACATGGGTGGCTGGCTCAGTCAGCAACCATGCAAGGCGAGCATGTTCGATGATAGGGATTCGAACCCCCGATCCTCAGATTGCGAGTCAAGCGCCCTAACCACCAGACCCCCCCTAGTACAAATAAGACTATTTAATGAAAAAAATTAAATAAATTAAAAAACCACTAAAAACTTTGACAGTGTATGATGTAAGTGAGAAACGCGGTGTAAAACAAAATAATTAATTTGTTTTCTTGATATTGCACAGGATCGAAAGTGTCCAAGTATTTATTAATTTAAACCTAGCTAAACAATTAATATAAGGGGACTAGCAAACCCATGTGCCTATGGTCTACATTTACATGTCCACTATAATACAACTTTGATGCTTTAACTACTATTTGCACTTTTTCAGTTTGATTATCATTGCCACTAAGTTTAATTTCTTTAACCAAGTTATGAACGGTAATTAGTAGGCCTACTTATTCACGTGCTCTAATGTAAATCAATGCCAAATTTGGGATTCCTTTCGGTGAGTCCTCGTAAAAGTGGTTTCGCGAAATACTCGTGTTCCCTTGGGGGTTGGGTGAAAAGTTTAATATTTGTGCAAACCTCGGAGTCGAGACGATTCGTTTGGTACCAATTAGAAGTTTGTGCGACTAGTGGTTTTGGAGAAGTTACGTGACGTGACGCACACTGAATCTTGATATATATAGATAGGCTGAGTAAAATGATGTATGTGCCTAATGTACGATTAATTACATGGTTTAAATAGATGTATACTGTAGAATACAATTAAGTACATTGTTACAAAGGTATTTGGGGTATAGTATATATATATTTAAGTACATTATGTACTACTCGTTATCTTGTATTTACTTTAGTTGATTATAAACTGGAGACAATCAAAGTCCATATACAATACAGACCATTCTGTAACCTGACGTAAACATGTTACTGTCTTTGGAATATTTAAAAGCTAATAATTCATGGGCCATATTAACTAGATCAAGTCTACATATATCTGTCATTTTTCTTTTTTTGAGGTTAAAGCATTTTTAAAATATATACATAAAGATAATGTTATTTGTCATTTGCTAATTAATTAGTAATAGTTTACAAACTACAAATGTCAGAAATCTAATGGCTTATCTTAACAAGAGCTTGGATATTATTTCTCTAAACAACGCCGCCAAAACGTTCCTTATCAAGAAGCACTTCTACTGTAGTTCTAGTGTTTAAACAAGCACCTGTGTAGCGTACGAAGTCAGAATCAAATAGAAATCACATGTCTATCGTAGACGTTGTTTCAGTTTACGTGGTATCGCTGGTCTCATGTTGATTGATTAGTCCTTGAGAACATCGTATGGAATTGTTTTAAGAGACTCGGGCTATGATGTCTTATCTGACACAGGTAGGTCGGAATTAGTCTTACCAAACACCAGTATTGCTGCAACTGGCACAGGTAGGTCGGAATTAGTCTTACCAAACACCAGTATTGCTGCAACTGACACAGGTAGGTCGGAATTAGTCTTACCAAACATCAATATTGTCGCAACTGGCACAGGTAGGTTAGAATTAGTCTTACCAAACACCAATATTGTCGCAACTGGCACAGGTAGGTTAGAATTAGTCTTACCAAACACCAGCATTGCTGCAACTGGCACAGGTAGGTCAGAATTAGTCTTACGAAACCGCAATATCGTTGCAACTGGCATATATAGGGCGGAATTAGTCTTACCAAACACCAATATTGTCGCAACTGGCCAGGGTAGGTCGGAATTAATGTTACCACCACTATTTTATCAACCCTACTATTGTTTCATCGTGATAGGTTGGAATTAACCTTTTAGGTAAGAATAATTATTACCATCACTAATTTTACAAACACTAATAGTGTCTGACCTGGCGAAAATAGGCCGGAATTAGCTTTATCAAAACTAATAATGTCTCAGATCTGTTGGAATTGGTCTTAACAACATCAGTGTTATTTTACCCTGTTCAAATAGGCCGGAATTAGCCTTAAAAGTTGGCGTTAGCTTTACGTACACCTTATACTGTCTCACCTGGCCTAGGTAAGTTAGAGTTAGCCTTACCAACACTAAAAATGTCTCACCTGGCCTAAGTAGGTTAGAGTTAGCCTTACCGACACTAAAAATGTCTCACCAGGCCTAAGTAGGTTAGAGTTAGCCTTACCAACACTAAAAATGTCTCACCTGGCGTAGGTATGTTAGAGTTAGCCTTACCAACACTAAAAATGTCTCACCTGGCCTAAGTAGGTTAGAGTTAGCCTTACCAACACTAAAAAATGTCTCACCTGGCCTAAGTAGGTTAGAGTTAGCCTTACCAACACTAAAAAATGTCTCACCAGGCCTAGGTAGGTTAGAGTTAGCCTTACCAACACAAAAAATGTCTCACCTGGCCTAAGTAGGTTAGAGTTAGCCTTACAAACACTAAAAATGTCTCACCAGGCCTAAGTAGGTTAGAGTTAGTGCCACGAATCATAGTAGCGGATTGTCTGACGACAGAAACGTAGAGATTGATTAGCGCCACCTTTATTTTAACTTGTTTACATCACTTATAATCCAACTACCATAAAACAAACTTGATAAAAGGGATTAATATTTATTTGCTGGAACGTACTTATCAGATAATCGCAAAACTGCAAGAACTTTAAACTGGTTCAAGCGAAATTCGGCATGATTTTAAGGTGGTTGGTAAGTTAAATAAATCGCTGTTTTCGAGTGTTGTTTTTCAACATTTTGGATTAAATTGACTCGTGATAAGGAAATATATTTCAAATTTGGATAACCTGGCGCAAGTGTGAATGTATGAAGCTTCTACACGTGTTATTACAATATCGGAATAAATAAAACGAAGAACTTATAAAACTAAATAATATTTGTGATTTATCGATAAAAAGTAAATATGTTTTAAGAAAAAAAGTCAAAAACAAACGAACTAACATTATGTAAAATGTTATGTAATTATATTTATTCTAATAATTATAATGAATTATACGTTTTTTGACATTAGTATCAGGAGTGTTATATTTCATTAACACCTTTTCTAGTTCCTCAGGGATTTTCAAGGATTAGGAAAGTATATAACAAAAATATAATAGGCCTAATAGTGCCCCCACCATTGACACAGCGGTATATCTGAGGATTAACAACGCTAGAAACCGAGTTTCGATACCCGTGATGGGCAGCGCACAGATAGCCCATTGTGTAGCTTTGTGCATGATTACAACCCCCCCCCCCAGTGGCACAGCGGTATGTCTGCAGACTTACAACACTAGAAACCGAGTTTCGATACCCGTGGTGGGTAAAGCGCAGATTGCCCTTTGTGTTGCGTTGTGCTTAATTACAAACAAATAAACCCCCCCAGTGGCACAGCGGTATATCTGCGGACTTACAATGCTAGAAACCGAGTTTTGATACCCGTGGTGGGCAGAGCGCAGATTGCCCTTTTTGTTGCGTTGTGCTTAATAACAACAATAAAAAAGGCCTAATAATAATGTCGTATCACAAGTATAACTCGTTAGACTCAAATTGTTGTTTTCCTTACTTAGCTATTATTACTTTCTGTAACATTATTGTTTAATGGTGTAATATTGTTACTGATGTTTTAAGACATAATAGTTTTTAATTGCTGCACGATTATGTTCAAATTTGCCACCTGATTTAAAGAAACGTGGTGTTATTTAAAAATAACTTGTTTATACGTACATATAAAATATTGTTTATTATATTGAGACTTCCTGAGAAAAGTCTCAAACATAAATAATCAATAAACGTACATTAATTCACTTCTGTTTCCCCCCCCCCCCGGAACATATCGGGAATTAATGGTTACTTAGTAACTCCAACGTGAACGGTGGTTCCGTAACGTTGCACGTTTCGCATTCACAATTTTTTCTCAACCAAATCTAAATGATAATTTATTTGCATATAATTGAAAGAAACCCTTTTTCTTTTTATTAAAATTCGATTTCAAATGACACATGCGAGCTGCACTCTGTGCCAAGAGGTCCAATCTTTTACTGATTGCCCTAGGACTTGGTTCAATTTTTCATGCTCGCTACAGAAAATTCCAGTCAGGTTTTGGATTTTCTTGTTTCTAAGAGATATTCTTCATTATGACTGGAACACGATGGGTCACTGCATAACAGAAAACCTATGTTTTTTTTCATCCTTAATTTAATTATTATGATTGGAACACGATGGGTCATTTCATAACAGAAAACCTATGTTTTTTTTCATCCTTAATTTAATTATTATGATTGGAACACGATGGGTCATTTCATAACAGAAAACCTATGTTTTTTTTTCATCCTGAATTTAATTATTATGCTTGGAACACGATGGGTCACTGCATAACAGAAAACCTATGTTGTTTTTTCCATCCCTAATTTAATATTATTAAAATGCCAAATCATAAAGTTTGTTTCTAACTCTTTTTTTCTTTCTTTTTTTTTGGCTGATGGCATTCCACGTTTCCACACCAAATTTAAATTATTTACGAATATCGAGTTCTACCTAAATGCAGTTTTGTCAAACCCTTTAGTTTTAAGTGGATTTTAACGATAACAACCGGTATAACAGAGGCAGTTTCCGTTAGCCACTAATTTTGTCTAAATGGCCTAGTGGGTAAGCTGATAATAATAGCTATTTTCGTCATGACGACAGATGGAGGAAGTCCTTCTCCCCCCAGCTGTGAAAGACAACAGTACATGTACGAGTGTGTCCACCTGGACGGACCCAGAGTGTCTCGGCCCTTGTGAACCGGGAACAAGCGTACTATTGGAGGGGATCGTTTGGCAAGAAACTGAAGAAGGTAAGGCCGTTGGTGGTCAGTTTATTTTTGGAATTTTTTTAAAACGAAGTCACGAAGCAACCGTGTAAAATAAAATAAAAAATTATAATCATGTTTGCTGTGGAATATATTCTAATTGTCTGGAATAGTTCATCATTAATAGAAGGAAAATGAGCCTTTATTTATAAAAACGGTCCCTTAGAATTGTTAGGATTATGACGTAGCCTTTTGATAACGGCCATACTTGCAAAGTTTATTAATCTGAAACTTTAAGGATGTGTACTTTGGTTAAAACGTGGCAGATTAGGAAAGTATAAAAAGTTATATAGAGGAAAATATTAAAATATTTTTTACGCTTGTTTGTTAAGATGAACAGATATTTGGATATTCACCTTCAAATTTAATTCATTTTCAGTTCCTAAAAGCTAAAAGAACTTTAGATTGCCTAGCTTTTCAGAGAGTCCTAACACTCTATTTTTTTTTTTTTTAGTTCGTATTGTCGGATTTACCAGTTGTTATAATGTTAAAACAAAGAAGCAAGGGGCCCACAACTACCCACTTATTACAATAATTTCAAGCTATTTATTATTAGCTTCTAGTTTTATTAACCCAGCGCTGTTGGTGTGTAATTAATTAATTTGAATGAACTTAAGTTAAGCCTTAGGATATTTTTAAATGGTATAAATTAGAGTGTATAAAAACATTCAATTTTATCATCTGCATATTACAATAAATAGTGGATCAATACACATATCTACAGCAAATTTCAAAATGACGCTCGTTCGAAGTTAAACCTAAATGTCGTAGGATAAGCTAGAAGGCACTTGAGGTTAGAGAGAGATACCACTAACACAATAACAAAATCTAGCTTGTTCTATGAAATTTAGGCTTAGTGTCAATAATGTTTTTCTGATAATATAATTGTGTTTGGTAGGGAAAAGTGATTCTAAAGTAGTCTTTGTTCATCCTGAAATGACACATTATAAGAAAATAAACATTTTCTTGGCGTCATTAGGGTGAAAAAGACTTTTTTTTTTTTAAATGCAAAGTCAAAGATCTGTTTTTCGTTTTACCGAAACATATAAGATTATTAGAAAGCAAATCCAGTTACTCAGAGATTCAAGAAGAAGAAGAAAAAAAAAAGGAAGACAACGAAATCACCTGATGTAATCTTTTAAGGCACCAAATCAACAAGAATTGTTTTCAGTCTAATATTTGGTTATAATGTTATTTTAGATATTGATAATTATGTTACTGATTATTAATTATTATAAAGTAAAAAAAAAAGAGAATGTTTATCTTAATGCAAGTTCAACTAAACAAGGTACAACAAATATGTTGTTATAAAACAATCCAACGTTTATCAGTATGAAATATTATTTTCACACAAAAAAAGCTTCTGATTATTTCAGTAGAGCAACATTGTTAGTTTTAGTTGTAATGTTTCATTTTTCACGAGACGTTTGAGGTAATTGGTGTTTTTGCTACCTAGGTGTGCTGGTTGTAAACGTAACGTGGAGGGATAAGACCTACGTGGGTACCTTACTGGATTGTACAAAATACGACTGGGCTCCTCCTCGTTTATGCGAATCCCCAACTGACGAGGTGGACTCTAAGGCTCCTAAAGTACGTGCTAAGAGAGGAAGAGGATCATCTAATTCTGCCAGTGACTTGCAGTCCTCTGAGACGAGGACAGCTATTCAAAGCAAGCTACGGAAAGGAAAGGGAAGGAGAGGTACTGTCAGTAGCACATCTTCCTCGTCGGAGTTCACAGTCCCACATAGTCCCACCAAAAGCGATAACGGAACCTCTGGACACGGCAAACGCAAAGGTAGATCCGCAGATGTGGAACTTGGATCTAGTGATCAGAAATCTTGTAAAAGAAGCCGATCTCAGACACAAGCATCACCAACTCCAGTTAATTCATCACCTTCAGATTTCGTTCAACCTTTATCTCCAGTTCTTCTTGAATGTCCTGAACCAAACTGTAATAAGAAGTACAAACATATCAACGGATTGAGATTCCATCAATCCCATGCTCACGCTAACTTGGAGGTGACTAAAACTGAGGACTCGAATTTTGAGGAATCCAAGGAGATGGTTAACAGTTCCGACAACGATGAAAGCTTCCAAGATTCACTAAGTGTTCCCACTAGCCCCACATCTTATAGCAGGAATTCCCCAGCGTTTCGACCAAGTCAGTCCACAGATACTCCAGCTTCTAACATTACACCCGAAGAGGAGCACAGTGTCACTTCTGTAGGACTAACATTTATACCAGTGAATAACTCTTCGACAGAGGTGTCATCTGTTCTTACTGTGATGAATAGAGAATCGAACCAGTCTTTAGATCAATCTAGGATAGCCAGCTCGCATATTCCATTTTCCACAAACTCTGGAATATGCACTTCCGTCACTAATGGTCAATTTTCAGTAGTAGCTCCAGTTGTCTCTTCTGCAAATGCCGTGACAGTGATCACAACTGTCAGCATTCCAACTTCTCATGTCCCCCAGTTTGGTCTGCCTACAGTAGCAAATACAGCAGTCGTAAGCTCAATCTCAGCTTCAATTCCATCAACTGGTCATATAACAGAGCATGGACCTTCTCCTGGTCATATTCTAACGGTCACTTCTCTTTCTTCTTCTTCTTCTACGCCTTACTTGTCCGACAAACGACACACAGAGGAAATAGTGGAAGAAGAATCTACAACTACCAGTTCTTCTGCAAGGACATCTAATGCCACAGCAGTGATGGGACACATTTTAACAGTAGAACCTATTGTTTCCTCAACACTTCATTTTCAGAATCAAAAGAATCCCAATGCATTGCCATCTCCATTGAAACCAATACAACCGAAACCAACAGGTTTAGGTGAAACAAGTACTATTAATACCGCATTAGAAAATTTTAAAAGAGAGAAGATAAAACACAAAAAGAAAAGTAAGGACAAGGAAAAAATTGCATCATTACATGTTACTTTTAGTGAGGGATTGACTCCAAATCATGATATAATAAATTCAACTCTATCAGCAGGGTTGAAAACGGAACCTATTCAAGGGGACAAAGAAAATGGTTTGACAAGTATGTCTTGTGATTCTTCGTCGTCTTGTTTGTCTCCGAGACTATCTGCTCCTTCGGGTATGACATCAGATGCGGTTGAAGAAATTAATGAAAATGTACAGAGTCCAGCTTATTCTGACATCTCTGATGCGAATGATTCGAATCTTCTTGATGATCATTTGCAGGAGGAGAAAGGAAAAAGCGACAAAATTTTATTACAACAAAGAAATGGATCAAATCAGTCTTCAGAACAAGGCTTGAATCCTATTTATCCTTATTACAGTCCTCCTCAGTACCTCTCTCCTTCTGTACCCTCTCAATGTTCTGAAATCACGCCAGTTTCTGCTGTAGACAAAACCCATCCTAAAGAAGATAAATTAGATGTGACAGCATGGTTAGAAAACGCAAAAAGAGTCAGTCCAGAAGAAGTTGTTAGTAAGGATATCAGAAACCATAAAATATCTAGAGAGTCAAGCTCACACTCTTCAAGTACCGCAGTAACACCACCTATCGCTAGTGTACAGGACTATTCTGTCCAGCAACAATTTTCTTATCCTTATAACATGATACCTGGTTACCACTATAGAGTAGATTCTGCATATCATCTACATCTGTTATCAACGGATCCACGATATAAACAACAATACGAGGTTTACATTCGAGAGCAAGAGAAACTTAAAAAGAAGCTAAAGGCTTCTCATCAAAATGAAAAGAATGATGGAAAAGAAACAAGGATTCTCAATGACAAACCCGTTAGTATGTCTAGCTTTAGGGCTACTGATCTAACTCTCGCTAAAACTGTGTCTTCCTCGACAGAGACGAATACCAACGATGCAAGAAGAGACGCGAGGATTTCTTCCTTCCACGAAGTGGTACGATCCTTGACACCTCCCTCTATAGGGCAGAAGGAAAAACGTAATGAAAGTCATAAAATCATGAAAGAGAATACTGAGCTGAAAGACAATGTCAAAACTAATCAGTATGATACAACCGCAGTATTGGAGCAACACCAAGAAGAAATGAGAAGATTTTATATGATGCATCTCGCGGAACAACACAATAAAAACGTGCATCTCGCAGAACAACACAATAAAAACGTGCATCTCGGGGAACAGCACAATAAAAACGGAGAGCAGCCACAACAACATCGGATATCCTCTCATCAAAGTGAAACTACTAAAAGTGGCCGTTCCGGGTCCGCGTCATCTGGGAAACAGATTTCTTTCGAGGACAGCAACAAATTAGATATTACGTCGAAAGGGGACCTCAACAAACCTGCCTCAAGCATAGCCTCCACCTCTAGTCCTAAAGGGAGCTCTAAAGATCTCTCGAAACATTTCAGTAGGGAGCATAAAATAAATTCTTGTAGCAGTCATAACATGAAAAAGGAAGATAACTCGTATACTTCTAAACATCAGAATAGCGATGATAAAATCAAAATTGAGAAGAAGCAGAATTCAGAAGGTCAAAAGCCCACAATGGAGACAACTGGGCCTCCCCCACCTCCAACTAATAGCTATGCTTACCTGCACCCGTCGTACTTGCAGGCCCCGCCGCACTTTGGTCACATGACCTTTGACCCTAAACATCCTATGTACAGAGGAGGATTAAACCCCTTGCTAGTTTCTCCAAACCCTCACTATGTAGGCCCAGCGTTTATCCACTCGCAGCTCCGGTATCCTGTACCTGGTACATCCTGTGAAATACCTTCTCACTCCCAGTCTCCTAATGATCACCTGGGGCTCAAGCTACACCACACTCCGCCACCTAAAGCTTTAGATTATCTCCACCAGGTGTCGCAGCAATACACAAACCATAAGATTCATGAGCTTCAGGGGCCCACTTCTAGCACTAGTGGTACTTCTGCCTCCCAAAGTAAACCCGTCGACTCCCCTAGTACAGTAATTAAGCAAGAACCGGCAAGATCAAGTGATAGATCTCGGTCACCACCTTTACAGCGCCACCTACATACCCACCACCACACTCACGTTGGTGTAGGATACCCTCTGTATGATCCTTACGGAGGTAAGTACCGTTTTATGTTCCCCCTTTTTTTTAAAATAGTTTTCTGTCAACACTACAATCTTAACACTTGTACGTGTATCAGTTATCACGTGACACTGAGATATCGGTTGTGTAGATGATATGGGAGACTGAATGCCCTAAATATTGGTCAAACAGAATTAACACACAACTTTCAGAATCACTAGTCACTCGAATCATTGTTGTATAATTAGGCTTAGGGAGATTTACATCGTGATACTTTTCATGTTAACGGTTTCGAACTAAAGTCGGTTTTATTAAATATGGCGTAAGGTTATACAGGCAAAATTATGATACAATTAGTAACTCTGAAGGTTTGAGAAACTAAAAAGCCGAAATTGCCCCAGATGTATTTATAAAAAAAAACAAAAAACAACAACATAGAATGTAAGTTGCTTTCTAAATATCCTTAAAGGCGTTAAGTATATTTATTTTATTGACAGGGCCACCAAGTTCTGAATTAATCCTATATACTTTGAAAATGAAGCCTACACTGTTTTAACATGGTGAACATTGAACACATTTTATGACGTTGTGATGTATAATACTTTTAAGTGCTGTTTTAACTCATTTTAACCGTATTGGGGAAGATTTTAAATGTATTTACTTTTCGCGTAATTTGTTAATGTCCTTTCAAATTCAATTTTATAAAAAGAGTGTTAAGAAAGTTAGGCTAAGGAGATTCGTATGTTCTCATGTAAAAATGTACAGAAATAGTCACCCTTTATAAAGTGTAAAGTATAAAGAGAGCGAATTAAATACATTATTTGCTGGCAGAGCTTCTGAAATTACTATTTAGTGACGTCAGCCAGCGTTGCTGTAGCACGGTTTATTTAAAATGTAAGAATGCCTATATCTGGAGTGTGGTGATTTTTGTGTTAAACGTACATTTAATGTTGAGTAGTAATGGTCGACCTGATCTGATTGATTATAGCAAAACGACAGCAGTGGAAACCATCTCAAAGACAGGTTCCGTACAGACTCACGGTAATTATTGTTCGTATTACAAAACGTCATAGTGTGCAGTTTGGTGAATTAATTTGGAACTAACGATGTATTGTTGGTGTTACCCCACGTCCCAGTTATAAGTGGTTTAATTAAACATTCTCTATTAACAAATTGGATTCAACATATAATTCAAATTCATCAAGGTCACTTTTGCTTTAGGAATTTAGTGGAAGGTTTTATTGTTCCTTATAATGCTGTAGATGGTAAGTGACATTATAACTTGAACGCCCTCTACTGTTTATTATGTGAAGGTAAATTGATAAGTTTGGTTGCGATTAAAATTAATCCTACTTAATTGAAATGAATCCTTAACGAAGCTAGGACGAATTTTATGGCCATTTATTAATTATTGTAATAATATATGTCGTATTTTACCTTGTATGAATTTTACGACTGTTCATTAATTATTATCGTAATATATGTCGTATTTTACCTGGTATGAATTTTACGACTGTTCATTAATTATTATTGTACTATATGTCGTATTTTACCTTGTATGAATTTTATGGTTATCATAAGATCATCATGTGTGGTGTATTTGATCTCTTCCAACCAATTAAAACGTGTAGATTTGTGTGGTTTTAATGAAACGGGTAGTACTATACTTTAGAGAAGAAATTTTTAACTCAGTTAAACCTCAATCTGCGACTTAACCAGGTCAAAAATCACTAAAACGCTCACACCATCAGGTCCGGTACTACCCATTTTGTATCCAGGTGGCACGGCAGTAAATCTGAAGGCTTATAACGCTAAAAACCAGGTTTCGATACCCGTGTTAGGCACAACACAGATAGCCTGTTGTGGAGCTTTACGCTTAGAAACAAGCAAAGAAACATGTCCTTTTTTTTCTTTTCTTTTTAACTGTTGTATTGTTTAGACTCGAACCTATAAATTTAAAAATCACTACAAAAAACTGAGACTGATTTTGATGCAACTTTCAAACTGGTTGTCAAAGTTGACGTATTTTGACGAAGATCGATTACTATTTTCTTGGCCAGAAACTTTAGACATTTTAGCTCAAATAACGACCAGGAATATTTGAATAAGAGCAGTAACAGAATAGTCAGAGCACACAATATGGCCTTTACAAAATGTTTTAGCAAATGGAACAGTAGAAGAGCTTAAAAATGAGCTTCTTAACAGCTAGATCACCATTTTCGAAACCCAACAACAAACTGCAGCTTTTTTGCTTTCGAAGAAGCATTTTTCTCTTCGCTTCTTGCTTCTTTTGTATTCCCCCTTTTGGAAACTATTCGCCCTCTTCTGTTTGTTAACTTTTTTCAATTTATATCCATCATGTTCGACTGCATTTATTACACCGTAAAGGCCTTTACAGCCCCCCAGTGGCACAGCGGTATGTCTGCGGACTTACAACGCTAGAATCCGGGTTTCGATACCCGTGGTGGGCAGAGCACAGATAGCCCTTGTGTAGCTTTGTGCATAATTAAAAACAAACAAACAAGCCTTTACACTTTGCAATAGGAAGTAAAGGAACACCTTCTAGTGTTTTGCATTGGTTTTCCAAGTTTTAAAACAGGAACTATCATATTTATAGTAATTCCGAATATTAAAGTGTTAGAACTCAGATTTATCACCAGTCTAGGCCTGGTTAAGTCGTGAATTTAGGGTTAAAATAAATGAATGAACAGTAAACACACACACACAAAAACCCATGTTTCAGTCAACTATCTCAGAATCGTAACTTTAATGTCTTTCACCCACAAATGATATTAACAATAACAGTCCTAGCATTTCGCGTATTCCCTCCACCTCTTATGATCGTCCATTACTTTTAAACTTAATTTTTGTTTCATTAAGTTCTTCTCAACATCTATATTAAGAGCTTATTCTTATATTCTTTATGTGACTTGTGCAATTTTAAGTGTGAACTAGACATTTTGGACCATGCAAGAGGCATGAGTCGGTAATAAAAGTAGAAACACAAAAATTGTGCTTTTAACAGTAGATTAAAATGAGACGTATACACACAACGGATAGCAAATATTATAAATGTCATTGAAATACTATGTAAAATATAGTAAGTTTATTTTGTTCCTATTAAATTATATAACAGTTTATCGTAGCTCCTTAATTATCTATTTGTGTGTTCAAATAGGTTGAGAAACATACCAATAACAAAAGAATGCAAATAGCCCTAAAAAAGAGAAACCTTGTATCACTTGGAAAGCTCGTGACGTAATCTGGGAACGAGAGTATGGAAAATATTGCGCCAGTCAACTCGTGTACAACTAATAAAAAGTTACAATACACGAAATTAACTCAATGTTTTACATCAGAGGTCTGACGTGAAGTTTTCGGGCATTTGTATATGACGTCATAACCGTCTATCGCATGTAACCAGCCGATTGGTTACTCACTCTCTCCATAGTGATATGCATTCTTGACTACTAGTTTTACGATAAATATAATTAAATTATACTCTGAGTTCTTGTTGTAATATAAACAATTATTGAACAACATTTTCTTTTTATTATTTACAGCCATCATAGCAAGTCACCAGGGGGCAGCAGGATCAGTTGTACCCATTTGAGATCGTTTGAAGTTTGGACAGCTATAGATATATTTGCTCTTTATACCTAGCAGTTAAAGGACAAGTAGACTGTGAATGGTCAGAATAGCGGATATATCGTAAAGCAGCATTTGTTGTACTTATCAGCAAGTGCCTGTGACTCTTCAGCTTACGTTTTTCGAGTACAAGTACCTGCTTGACAGATGGACTGTAGGAAGCTGATGAGCTATAAGGAACACGTGACCTGTAAGGCTCGTGATCGTTGTGTATTTTCTGTAGGAAGCGGAGTCGATACGATTTATCAAAATCGTTTTAAAAATATTCAGAACCTCGTATTTTATCAGAACATTCGTAGTAAACGTTATAAACTTTCATTGTTGTTTTAAAAGAAACGAACAAATGTGACCCGTCTTGAAATTTCGGTTCATGACTGATAGTTTACTTAGTTCGTGCCGAGTATTATATATATATTGAAAAGCAACTCTCCAACAAACATCTGTTCGTGAAATGTTTTAGATGTGCTTAGCGTAACGATTTCACGAGGTCAAAATGTGAAAGAAGAAAATTAAAGATGACCAGTGTCCTGCGAAATCTCACCTAGTCCTACAGCCTAACGCTGCTCTCTTCATGGACGAAAACTTTTTGATTGACAAAAATGATAATTCATTACTGCCACCATGTTCCCGCTTTGGACATTCTTGGATGTATTGTGATTGGGCTTTTGTTATGATTTTTTTTTCTTCTTTTTACCCAAGTACTTTGATACCTAGTGTTATATCGTATATGAATGAATGTATAGAGTATTGTGAATTAACACGTGCTGTTTCGTTGACTATTAAACTGTAACACGTGCTGTTTCGTTGAAAAAAAACAACAACCAAAAACAGAGAAGTTATCGAGTCTGTTCTGATACAATTGTATTTTTATTTTTATCAGATGAAATTAAAAGCTCTATGAGATACAGTCGAAATGGAAATATGACCTATTGCGTATTCACTCTGTCACCGCTCTTTTGAACTAGTGATATGTTGTTATTTAATATAACCTTGTCTTTTTAACCTGTGATTTGGTCTGGTCTTTTTAATTTGTGATCTGTTGTACATTACAGTGACTCCTCATTTTAACCTGTATATATATATGTATTGCATATTTACTGTTGCAACCTTTTTTTTCTTTTTAACTTGTGACCTCATGCAAGTTTACTGTGATCCAGTCTCTTAACCTTTAATCTGTTACATGTTCACTGCGATCTGATCTCTCTAACCCGTGATTTGTTGCATGTTCACTGCGATCTGATCTCTCTAACCCAAGATTTGTTACATGTTCACTGCGATCTGATCTCTCTAACCCGTGATTTGTTACATGTTCACTGCGATCTGGTATTTTTAACCCTGTAATGTGTTTCATATCTGCTGTGACCTTTTTTTTGAACCTGCAATCTGTTTTATATTTACTGTGATCTGGTCTTTCTCACATGTCATCTGTTTTACACTTACACTGACTTGGTTCTTTAACTTCTGACTGAGATATGTAAATTAACTTTTGATTATAATTTTCCTTAAAATCAAGTTAATTAGATTTTGTAAAAAAAAAAACACCAAAAAAAAAAATTAATGGACATAATGCGAGATTGTTTGACCTTTTATTATTCTTCAAGACAGTTGTACTAATTCCCGTCATTTAACGTCCACGGTTTTACGATATTTGGTGACTTGATAAAGGTATAAATTAAACAATTAAAATGATTAGACTCTTTAATGATCCGATGTTTCTCACTTTTTTTTTAAATCGGTGACAAACGTTACTTTATTGTCTTCATTTTGCACTGGGATTTAATTCAAAACTGTAATCTAAATGCATTATTACTGCTTGACTCGATAGCAAGGATACCGACATTACACAAAGCATGGGGCCCTTATGTGTAGGAAAACCAGATTCGTGGATAAACGCCATCTGCCTTTTTAAAAACTTCGTAACTGGTTGCTAGATTATTCTACTCACTCAAGGTTAAATCACTCATATAAAAATACGCCCTCTAGTGGATTTTGTTACTTGTCTTTCAGCAACTAAGTTTGTTCCTGAAGATAATTCAGACGCTCTTTAATTAAAAGATTGAAATACAAGTTTACTTCATTCCCTCTCCTTGGCCTGCTTGAATAATTAATAACTTCTGTTAATTAAACGCCTGCTTTAACTCAACTTTATCATATATGTGTGATAAATACATAATAACCGTCTGTGATACTAAACCTTATGAAACGTATATCATAGAAACAAACAAACTTACTGAAGTTAAGCAAAATTAACCTTTAGTATTCGGTAAACTGTAGAGAAATAATGTTAAATATAATATTAGTGGTTCGAGTTACAAAAACAATTTTCATCGGAGCAGGCTGCTCGCATAGATCATATCCCAGTAATGAATATAGCTAATTTAATATTCAGTTCTAGCTTATAATGATTGGAAGTCATTCATTCTCGGCATTTACTACAGTATTCCCAATAATATTTATTTATAACGAAGATATCTAGCGAGTATAAAAGATTCCGGTTAAGCCTAAATCCATTTATTAACCCTTCAACTGCGGTTAACATCGCACGATGCAAAGCATCTTGCGTGCAACATTTTGAATGGCCAGTCGTAAAAATTCGCGAATCATTGCGCATGGAATGGTAGACAGGTTTACACAAACCACGAACGAAGGCTTTAGGTAATGGTTATACAACAATCCTCATAATAATAATTAAAATAGATATAGTAAACCACTGAAGTAATACCGATACTGAAACGAACTTTAAATAAAGAATATGATAAAACTGGAGGGTAAAAACAGTTGGTACTTTTACACCTGGTTAATAATAACATTCGAAGGAGATCCGTTTCGTGATGGTATAGCATGACTAGTAGCTATAAAGTATTTCTGTTGACAACATTATCCCAAAGAGATGGAAGATTAGACCAAAAAAGGCGTTTCTATGTGGAGTTTTTTATTATTATTATTTAAGGGGGGGGATCATAGCTGTAGGAGAAGAAAACAGGTATGACATTCAATTGAAAGAGGGGAGGGATGTCAGAGGGCGCGGTTGTTAACATTTTCTGTGATCATATCTCGAAATGGCGATAAAGGTAATCACGTGATAATTATGCACCTATTCCGTTGTACGTGCAGAATTTTGTTGAAATGCTCTAAGCACATATGTGGCTGTTTGTTTGGTTTAAGAATAATGTTTTCTTTAATTGTCATGTGTATGTATATATAAAACATGGAGGAAGCAAAATAAGGAAATATTTTATATTTTCTCATTCGTTTCGATATTGAGCAGATAATTGGAAATATATGTTTTAATAACCTTTATCGCAATTTCACGATGTAGACATAAAAATGCACTACAGCAGTGATGGTGTAATATTTTGATTTTCTCAACACGCAGAGTAGTTAGGAAAAATGATATTGGAAGTATTTAATATTCCGAGCACAAGAATCTGATTACAAAACTGAAGTTGGGAGAATATGATAGACACAACAAATGATTATAAAACTGAAGTTGAGGAAACCTGATACGCTGAATAGGGAATGTCACTACTAAAGTGACGTTCGGAGAATATGATAGTCTGAATATAAAAAGTGTGGCTACTAAAGTGATGTTGGGGGAATGTGATAGTCTGGATATAAAAAGTGTGGCTACTGAAGTGATGTTGGGAGAATATGATAGTCTGAATATAAAAAGTTTGGCTACTAAAGTGATGTTGGGGGAATGTGATAGTTTGGATATAAAAAGTGTGGCTACTGAAGTGATGTTGGGAGAATATGATAGTCTGAATATAAAAAGTGACCATTAAACTGAAGCTGGAATAAATACTTGTTACCTTGAGCACAAGAAATGATTTAACACTGAAACTGGGAGAATATTCTTCCCTATTATTAGTACAGTAATATTTTTGTGTGGATGAACATTTTACTGTGAAATGAAATAATTACCAGAAAGACTGAGCTGGAAAAACGATTAACACGATTAAAGACTAAAAAAAAATTAAAAAGCAGCAGTATATGTGACCAACATATGGAACACTTTGGTTGATATTTAATCAGTTAAGGCCAAGTTTAAGTTCTAAAGACAGAAGAATATCTGATAGAACAAATTGCTAATGGAATACTTTGGTTGATATTTAATCAGTTAAGGCCAAGTTTAAGTTCTAAAGACAGAAGAATATCTGATAGAACAAATTGCTAATGGAATACTTTGTTTGACAGTTAATCAGTTAAGGCCAAGTTTAAGGTCTAAAGAAGAAGGATTTCTGATATCATGTTAAAATGAGTGATGGCAAAAAGCATAAAGAAAACTTCATCATCATAACGACATCTGCAACTCTTTTGGCTGAACTATCAAAATAATGTTGTTTAATTATGTTTGTTTGTTTGTAATTAAACACAAAGCTACACAATGAGCTATCTGTGCTCTGCCCACCACGGGTATAGAAACCCGGATTCTAGCGTTGTAAGTCCGCAGACATACCGCTGTGCTACTGGGGGGCTGTATAATTATGTACGTGTGATCTAGGTGCTTAAACTTCTCCTTTTATCATCGTTATTTCCAATAGTGACAGTCAGTCCCATTATTCGTTGGTAAAAAAGAGTAGCCTAAGAGTTGGCGGTGGGTGGTGATGACTAGCTGCCTTCCCTCTAGTCTTACACTGCTAAATTAGGGACAGCTAGCGCAGAAAGCCCTCGTGTAGCTTTGCGCGAAATTGAAAAACAAACAAACCAAATTTTCAATCGGGAGTGTTTCTTGGGTAATTGTATTGAAACCCGATGGGTTATCCTTTCTCTTCTCGCTGCTTAGTCACTGGTGGGGGGAGGGGGGTAGTTCAGTTTCGTTTGTTCCGTGTAACAGACCTATACATATGGGCTGTGCTCAGTTCGGGTATCGAAACCCGGTAGTGAGTCTTATAAACCCCGAGGCTCACCACTGACTATTTTATTCGACGTTTCGATATAACACGAATTTAAAAATCTGTCGCAAGATAACTTTATGTTTAATGTACATTCCTTGACTGAATCTGAATTTTAAGAGACGATGTTTGATTGGTAACGATTAATACGTTGGCTCAGTAGGATAACCAATCAAACTACGAAACTCATTATTTACTAATCACTTTCTAGAGAAGTTGTTCTTTCAGTTATTGAATGATTTTTAATACGTTCTCTAATTTCTAACACGTAACGGTACAGCAAACCATGCGCAGTGTCGACACCTAACCGTCTTATTATCAAATAAATATTTTTTTTTTTAAATACCAAACTCATAAATAATTTATTACATCAACAAATTTACTGAACTAAAATAGCATCCGGCAGGTAGAGCTGGAGGAAGATACATCAACTTTCTTGAAAATATTTCTTACTCATAAAACAATGACGTATAAGCAGGTGAATATTCATTGTACTCATTTCAACACCCAGAGTGAGAGTAATTAGACACTATATAAAGCGTTTTGGAACAAATTGTGGCGAGAAAAGGCGTTTTAAGACAAAAAGTAACGGCATCGTGACAGAGCAATATAGGGCAAGATCTAACAGGAGGACGAAATGTGTTAAGAGTTATAGAAAAACTAGCAAGTGGACATCACATGCACGAGCAGCTGGGCATGACGTGTTACAACAAGGACCAGCAGCTAGAGATAACATGTTAGGACACGAAGCAGCAGCTGGAGATGGAGAACTGAGAGAAGATTGGACATGGGGATATGACATATTAAATCAAAATCAACAGCTGGACATAACGTGTTAAGACAAGGTGTAGCAGCAGGACATAACGTGGGAAGACAAGGACCAGCAGCTGGACATAACGTGTTAAGACAAGGTGTAGCAGCTGGACATAACGAATTAAAACAGGAACCAGCAGCTGGAATAACGTGTTAAGACAAGGTGTAGCAGCTGAACATAACCAATTAAAACAAAAACCAGCAGCTGGAAT